TGAAGTGTGTAGAATGGTATCATATTTACTCTTCAACTTCATTTTATTCAGTATAAATAGTCAAAAACAAAATTACTACACACAGATACTTGGAACCCTTTTATTAGCCTTTTCTGATAAGAGGTTATTTTCTACATATCTTAAAAGAACATGTAACCTTATTAAAAGTATGCTGGAAACCCTGAGCACTGTTAAAATATAGGAGGTGCTAGGAGAGAGAGCAGTTTGAGCTGGGATGGTTATGAACTAGTCCCTGTGTTCAGATTTGCATATGTGATTCCATCAACTGGGGCAGCATGCTGCATCTGTACTTTCAAACTCTGTGTGTGTGTGTGTGTGTGTGTGTGTGTGTGTGTGTGTGTGTATGTGTGTGTGTGTGAATGCATTAAATAATTTTCTCCTAAACAGGGTGACATCAGTCTGAGTGTGTGTGTGTGTGTGTGTGTGTGTGTGTGTGTATGTGTGTGTGTGTGAATGCATTAAATAATTTTCTCCTAAACAGGGTGACATCAGTCTGAGTGTGTGTGTGTGTGTGTGTGTGTGTGTGTGAATGCATTAAATATATTTCTCCTAAACAGGGTGTCATCTGTGTGTGTGTGTGTGTGTGTGTGTGTGTGTATGTGTGTGTGTGTGAATGCATTAAATAATTTTCTCCTAAACAGGGTGACATCAGTCTGAGTGTGTGTGTGTGTGTGTGTGTGTGTGTGTGAATGCATTAAATATATTTCTCCTAAACAGGGTGTCATCTGTGTGTGTGTGTGTGTGTGTGTGTGTGTGTATGTGTGTGTGTGTGAATGCATTAAATAATTTTCTCCTAAACAGGGTGACATCAGTCTGAGTGTGTGTGTGTGTGTGTGTGTGTGTGTGTGAATGCATTAAATATATTTCTCCTAAACAGGGTGTCATCTGTGTGTGTGTGTGTGTGTGTGTGTGTGTGTATGTGTGTGTGTGTGAATGCATTAAATAATTTTCTCCTAAACAGGGTGACATCAGTCTGAGTGTGTGTGTGTGTGTGTGTGTGTGTGTGTGAATGCATTAAATATATTTCTCCTAAACAGGGTGTCATCTGTGTGTGTGTGTGTGTGTGTGTGTGTGTGTATGTGTGTGTGTGTGAATGCATTAAATAATTTTCTCCTAAACAGGGTGACATCAGTCTGAGTGTGTGTGTGTGTGTGTGTGTGTGTGTGTGAATGCATTAAATATATTTCTCCTAAACAGGGTGTCATCTGTGTGTGTGTGTGTGTGTGTGTGTGTGTGTATGTGTGTGTGTGTGAATGCATTAAATAATTTTCTCCTAAACAGGGTGACATCAGTCTGAGTGTGTGTGTGTGTGTGTGTGTGTGTGTGTGAATGCATTAAATATATTTCTCCTAAACAGGGTGTCATCTGTGTGTGTGTGTGTGTGTGTGTGTGTGTGTATGTGTGTGTGTGTGAATGCATTAAATAATTTTCTCCTAAACAGGGTGACATCAGTCTGAGTGTGTGTGTGTGTGTGTGTGTGTGTGTGTGAATGCATTAAATATATTTCTCCTAAACAGGGTGTCATCTGTGTGTGTGTGTGTGTGTGTGTGTGTGTGTATGTGTGTGTGTGTGAATGCATTAAATAATTTTCTCCTAAACAGGGTGACATCAGTCTGAGTGTGTGTGTGTGTGTGTGTGTGTGTGTGTGTGTGAATACATTAAATAATTTTCTCCTAAACAGGGTGACATCAGTCTGAGAGCCCCTTAGCACCTCTCTTATGTTGGTGGAGTCTAGTGTGCTTATAGAGGCAGTTGGGGCAGAGATTGAAGGGCAGGATCCTGCTGGGGCACCTATCTCTTCCTAGGTGGGGCAGCTAAGGATAGAAGGGGCTAGGAGGCTTCTGCCTACTCTAGGTGACTGGTTGAGGCTGGAAAGAGATTGCTTCCTTTTGAATGGGATCCCAGTGCTTACATGCACAAGTTAGGGTTGATAGAATGACCACGTGGGACCTCTGTAGGAATTTTATTTTGGTTTCTAGCTTCAGTGTGTCTGAGGGCACTATAAAATGAAATGACCCTATCAGAAATAGAAAACATGCTTCTCTTTCAAGTGTTATTAAAATGAAAAATTAGAAGGCATGGAATATCCCGAGGTTAGCTGTTAGGAACAATAGAGATGAAGATTAGGTGATGGTATGTGGTATGTGCTATGCTTTGGATCTGAATGTTCCCAAGCCCCATGTGTTAGGATCTTGGCCACTAGCTTGTGGTATTTTCTGGAGATGGTAAAACCTTTAAAGAGGAGCTTAGTGGGAAGAAGTTAGGTCATCAGGAACGTGTCCTAGAAGGAGATATTGGAACCTCAGCCCCTTCCTATCTCTCTTTGCTTCTCATCTTCCATGAAGTAAACAGACTTCATCTGCCTGGGCTCCCATGTGATATATTGTGACACCATAGACCCAAAGCATGCCAAGGCATGTTTTCATAAAAACCTAGATAAGAAAATCATAATCTGATTTAAAGTATGTTTGTAATGGGCTGATAGTTAACTCTCTTAGAAAGAATTCACTTGAAGTAAATTTTCACTAAATATTTGAGTGCTCTCTGTGTAAGGAACCATCAAAGATGTGAAAATGAATCAAAACAGAGTCTTTTCTTCAAAGAACGACCAATTTGGAGAGGGAGATATAGCTGACTTATAGTGGGGCTTCTATGATGATTGCCAAAATAGTGATATGAATTGAAGTGTGAAGGTGAGGGATAGATTCAGAGTTGGGGATCCATGGGAGCATGCCTGAGTAGATGCTGAAGTTGTCACACATACACTTGGGAGAACAGCTTCCCAAGGAGTGAGAAGGAGTGGAAGCTCTCAAAGGGGCGTGGGGAGGCCCTGGAATAAGGTGTGCAGGCTCCATGTAGGGAGGAGAGGCAAAATGTTCTAGAACCTTCTCTTGTAGGAAATAAGGCATCATCAAAGGCTTTGAGAGAGGGAATAACACTAATGGGACCATGTACTAGGAAGATGCTTCCGATGGCAGTGGGGAAATTGGTGGAGGAGGAGTGTGGCTGAGTGAGGGCACCTCTGTAAGAGGCAAGATGGGGACAGCCTGGGCACACAGGGGAGGGACAGAGGAAGGCTGCTGGAGAACTTTTGTATTTTTTCTGGCTCTAGAGAGCTCTTATAAAGTTTAGATCAAGTAGTTCAGTGGTGAACCACTTGCCTAGCATGCACAAAGCCTTGGTTTCGATCCCTTACACTATGTTAATCAATCAGACAGATAGAGCATTTAGATAAGGTTAAGTTTATTAATTAAAAAGATGCTTTTGGCAAATATAAACCTTTGCTACCCCCTTCTGGTCTCATTGGTCTGGGATGAAGTTTTTATTGAAGGAATGAAGCCACAATAGAAAATTAGGAAGGAAAATGGGAAAACAGATGCCCAAAGGTGTGGGGAGTCTCCTGTTGCTTTAAGCATCGCTAGTGTGATAGCCCAGCCTCAGCTGCCCATCTACCCTCTCATTCCTCCTCTTCTGCTGCATCTCTCTCTTTCTCATTCACACAGATACCTCCCAAGTTCTTGTATAAGTTATTCCATTCTTTCTCACTGTGTCTGGCCCCTTTATTTCTGTTCTTTGCATGTACAAATGTAACCTATGTGTCTAATTGTTAAGTGGGCAAACTACCTGGCTCACAGAGTCATGAGACATAAGACCTTGAAGCAAAGACAGTGCTCAGTAAATAAGTACCCAGTACATATTTTTCTACTTATGATAGAGTCTGCTAAATTTTATACTATTCCAAATTTAATCTCCCTTCTTTTGAGTTCTCTGAGGGTTCAATGTTAGTTTTAGCATTAAACTAACATTGTGTTAGTGTTTAATGCTTAAACACTTAGCATTGTACTGCCTGTAGTAAAAGCTTAAATTTTGACTGGATGTGGTTGGCACATACCTCTAACCCCAACAAGCAAGAGGGAGGCTGATGGAGAAAGACTGTCATTTTGAGGCCAGCCTGGGCTCTAATGTGAAATCTTGCTTCGGGGAGAAAACAGAGTTCAAATTTTGCCCTTAATTTCTCTTGTCCAGCAAAGTTCTCTTGTTGACTCTTCATTGGTCAGGTCTGACATTAGCCTCGTCTTCTAAGAGTGCGCAGGTGCCCTTCAATCCCTACATCTTCTGCTGGTAACTAGAGAGCCCATGTGTTAAAATGGCTGACTAGAGCTACCAGGCTGGAAATGCAAAAGTGTGGGCTCTTTTTCATCATCGGTTCCAGAGATCACAAGATGTCAGGTTTGGCGGCTTGGTGCAAAGCACCTTTACCCACAGAGCCACCTTACCGATCCTATGCTTGGTGTCTTAATACCAGTTCATAAATGTCCAGTGTTGAAACAGCTCCCTCATTCTCTCCCGCCCTTTCTCCTTCCCTCCCTCCTTCCTCCTTTCATTTTAACAAAACCAGAGCCTCACACATGTTAAACTTGCATTCTACTCTCAGCTCTGAGTTTTTTCTAATTGATAACCTCAGGTATTTATCTGATGGAGGCTGACATTATATGTAATGTGTTGTTGGAAAGGGGAACAAGAGAAGGTAATGGGCACTGATGACCAAAAAGACATAATATTACATGTTTTGTCATATGTGGAATTGTGTGTGTGTGTGTGTGTGTGTGTGTGTGTGTGTGTATGTGTAACATGAAAGCAGACACGAGTCTGTTTGGGGAAAGGAAGTGGACCAGCTGGAGGAGGGAGGAGGGATGGGGGAGGCAAGTGGAGGAATAGGAGCAAGGTACAGTTACATATATGTGTCATAGTGAAACTCATTTTTGTATGCTATCTAAAGAAATTAACTAAAACCTATCACAAACTCTTGGTCATGACATTTTGCCTTTGCAAATGAAATAGAGAAAACTTATACTTTTATAAGCAAAGAATGCTTATTGGCAAAACCACCAAGTAAATGTCTAGTTTACTGTGCTACTAAAATGAATAAAACATTTGTAAGTTAAAAAGAGTAATGCATTGTTCCCCTCTATTTCTAGCGATTGTGGATGATGAAAGGCTGTCTGCTGAGGAGATGGATGAGAGGAGGCGGCAGAACATTGCCTATGAATACTTGTGCCACCTGGAGGAAGCCAAAAGGTAAGGTCCAGGTTTAGTCTATGTACCTGCTGCTCTTTGAGCTAAGCCTTGGGGTAAGAGTATGGGATTTGATGACCAGAAGTTACGTGGATGGGCCAACAATTCTAAAAGGCTGTCAGGGCTGTAGATATTCACAGAGAACTCTTGCCTGCCACCTGTGACTTAGATTTGGCCATACCCTCATTCCAGGTGAGTGTACGGGGGCTGTCTCGTCACTTTGGTCCAGTCCTCAGTCACAGCTGGATGGATACTCCCCTGTGCTTGTGTCACTGTACTTGTAATAACTCATTTCAGTCTTGGTAGCAGGTTAGTGAGAGAGCATTTCTGCAAGTGGTCAGGCAGAACTGAGAGGCTTGCCATCGCATCCAGTGTCAAGGGACTGAGGAGGCAAGTCTTCCTCCTCCCTTCCTCAGCACCTCCCAAGAAATTACTGGACAAATTACAGATTATTTCAGATTCTTCATCTCACTGGTTTGGATTTGGGGTAGCAATGATAATTTAAATCAAGTTTCTTTTTCCTAAGAGTGTCCTCAGATCTTTTACTCACCTCCTGACAATGTTGATAAATGCCCAGTAGAACAATAGCATTTGGGACTGAAGTCCATGGGTCACTAAGCTATTGGACAGGTTTATGACAGCAGTCTCCTTTTTAACTTGTGGGTGTGTGTCCACTTAGGATATGCTGTTTGTAAAATCACATTGACTCTCTTATACACTTCAGATTAAGTAAATGCTGGGTTCTCTAAGGAGAAAGTGAAGGAAGATAAAAGAGACTAAAGTACAAATGCTTTATCAGAGGAAGTAAGAGAACTCTGACCTTTGGTGGGTGAATACTACATTGTGAACGTACCAGGAATTAGAGTTGGAATTAGTGCTTTGTGCAACACACTGCCGTCCACTGGAGTACTGCATCATTCCATGGACAGGTGAGATAGCCCAGCCCTCCTGTCTACGTAGCAAATAAACCCCAGTGAAATGGTCATGGGTGTTAATTACCTCTGGTCACTAATAAATAGTTATCTACAGAGCTAGATGGATGGGGATTTTACATAGTATTTTGTAAAATACTAGTCCATTCCCCAATTTGGTACCAGAATTGCTGTAGAGGGAGTTTCTCAGTGTTGTTTAGTATTTTAAGTGTCATATAGCTTTCCTTTAAGCTCTCATTGACCAAGTTTTAAGGACTGTTTAACATGCCTATAAAGTCTACAGTTAGATCGGAGGGCACTAAATATTCCTTATCAGTGTAAGAGTATTGAGTACATACAGTCAAGTTGTTGCTTAATAAAAGAGATAAGGAAAGAGATTCAGACATTCAAAAGCAATGTGCGTTCAGTGACAAGCCTCGAGAATTAGTGGGAGCAACCTTCCATTCCTTACTGACATGCATACCACATCCTAGGCATCTGCCTTATTGTTTCATAAATGAGAAGCATGTCATGTGGAAGAAAGACGTGTGGTTGGGAGTTGGTAGACCTGGTTTCCTGGCCCGGCTTCACCACTTGTGCTGTGTGATCTTGGATGGGTTGTCTGACCCATCATGTCTGTTCTGTAAATTGTATGATAAAGATACCAATACCACCTATCCTGCTTCCTCGTCCTTTTGCTCTAAAAAAATCTAAAGGAGGTGAAAGTATTCTGTAAAAGCTGGTGCTGGTCAGCTGTATGGTGTTGTGGTGATAACATGAGCATAGATTTCTCTTCAATATGGCAGTGTAGTAAGAATGAAGCTTGAAAGCTCGTCATTCTCTCTAGTATTCTTGCAATTTGATAATGAGATTTTCTTAAAAAATCATCATAAAAAATGACCTCAAAGTTGTTGAAAAAAGCTTTCTTAGCAGTAGTGTCTTTGAAATAATAGACTATGAGAACAGTCTGGGGAGATGGCTCAGTGTATAAAGCACTTGCCACATAAGTGTGAGGACCTGAATTTGGGTCTCCAGAACCCAAGTATAGCTGGACAGAGTAATGTGCATCTGTATTCCCAGTCTTGCTATGGTGATATGGGAGGTAGAGATAAGTGAGTCCCTGGCAGCTCACAGGCCAGCTAGCCCGCAGGATGCAGCAGTGAACAAGAGACACTGTTGCAAACAAGGTAGAAGGCAAGAACTGACACCTGAGGTCATCCTCTGACCTACACACACATGCACACACGCACACGCACACACACACGCACACACATCATACACACACAAAGATTTTAAAAATGCATATAAAGTTTTCATAAGTTTCTGAGATTAGATATGATATGCATAATGAATCATTAAGGTATGAACTCTTTTTATCACTGAATGTATAAAATCATGTGACTGTTTTTAGACAGATATAGTAAGTGTAATTTAAGAAAGGATGGTATACAGAAATCTCATATCCTAAACTTAAGAAATAGTTGAAGGAATGAGTTATTCTTTTTATTTCTCAAGAAGATTTTTTAAGAGAATTTATTCCATGATTTTTAAAACAATATTAGTGCCTTAAGGATTTGTCATATTTGGCTTATACACATCTTTGTACATGTGTGTGCTTATTGAATGTACCTGTTTACCATGTTGAGATTCTGCTAAACAGTATATTTGTGATATGTATGTTTACCCATGAACTGTTTCTTCTTTCTGATTTCACTTGAAATGACTTCAGTGCATTTTAATTAGAAATGTATTCGTTCTGTTTTTATACTTTTTTAGAAGAAAGAAAAGAAAGAAAACACAAAGACACAAGTTTGATTTAATACTTTCAGAATTCTTACAGATCAGGGTAAAATGTTAAGAGCCTAATATTTAAATGGACAAAAGTTACAAATACATTTTTCTAAAGAAGATAAACAAATGACCAATAAACATATGATAAAGGTACTCCACATGATTAGTTTTTAGGGAAGTATAAATCAAAACACTAATGAGGTGTCACATATCTACTAGCTATAATCCAAAAGACAAATTGTAAAAATATTACCAACAGTGTGCAGAACTTGGAACCCTCATATATTGCTGGTTGGATAGTAAAATGGCGTTCCTGCTTTAGAAATATCTAGCAGATCTTTAAAATATTGAACAGAGTTCCCATATGGTTTAACAATCCCTCTTGCAGGGATATTCTCATGAACATTGAAAGCCCATATCCACTCTAAAATTTGTACAGAACATTATTTATATTAATAAAAAGTAAAACAACCTAAATCCACCAATGAATGAATGGATAAACAAAATAAAGTATGTTTATGTAATGAAGTATAATTCAGCTATAAAAATAAGATACAGGTGTACATTATAACATGTATGAACATTGAAAATATTAGAGTAGACAAATCTGACATTGGGAATACATGAGGACAGGGGAGGAAGGGTGACTGACTGATGATGGCCCTGGGGTTTCTGTTTTGGGGATGACAAAAAATGTTTTAAAGTAATTGTGGTGATGATTTCACAACTTTACAAACCATTGAGTCGTAGATTTTCCAGGGTGAATTATATAGTATGTAAATTATCTCTCAATAAAACTGACTAGAGAAAAGTCTGTTAGGCAGACAGCTTGAAAAGGATCCTAGTGAAGCTGAGAAATACTACTGGTACTTACTAAATATATTACATGTATCTAGTAGGCATAGCTTGACTAGATGCTTGGGATCTGAGTTTCTCAAAGGCTGCAGTCATCTCCAGGCTCACACTGGGGCTGTGTATCCATTTCAAGCTCACCCGGAGCTGTTGATAGGACTCAGTTCTTCCTGGGTTTTTGGACCACGGACCTCTGTTCCTATCTGCTGGTGGGTGGAGTCTTTCGTCCATTGTGTGCCACTGAGGCCTCCCCATTGGGCAGTTCACAGAATAGCAAGAAGCTTCTACCAGAGTGTGCAAGGGAGCAAGGTGGAGGGCATGGTAGTCTACAACTTATTTTCAGAAGCAATGTCCATATTTTCTGGTGTATCTTACTGATTAGAATCATATTTTAGATCCCGGCCGTACTCAGAGTGAGAGGACTGCATGGGGCTAATTCAAGGGGGAGGAGACCTGTGGGAGTCCCCTGTATAGCCCCTTCCATACCATATTCCATCTTCTTGGAAACATTGGGCTGGGGGATAAAGAAGATATATCCTGGTTTTGATGGAAACTCAACCAGGAATTGGCTGATAATCTTGGTTTATGGTCCTAAGGTTATGGCTGTCTTGATTTTCTTTCTTTCTCTCCTTTGTCTCCCCTTCCTTCCTTCCTTCCTTCCTTCCTTCCTTCCTTCCTTCCTTCCTTCCTTCCTTCCTTCCTTCCTTCCTCCTTTCCTCCCTTCCTCCCTTCCTCCCTTCCTCCCTTCCTCCCTTCCTCCCTTTCATTCATCTTTTTAAGACAGGGTCTCCCTATAGCCCTAGCTGTCCTGGAACTACTCACTATGTAGACCAGGTTGGCCTTGAACTCACAGAGATCCTCCTGGCTCTGCCTCTCAAGTGCTGGGATTCAAGGCATGCACCATCATGCCCAGCTCTTTCTTTTTTTTTTTTTTTTTTTTTTAATTTCGAGAGTTTTTGTTTTCTGTGTTGAAGATCAAACCCAAGACCTCTGCCATGCCAGACATGTGCTTTCCCACGGAGCCATACTCTCAACCCTGAGCTCTTTCATTGTTATCTTTTACAATAAGACTAAATGAACATCTAAGTTTTCTCTTCAGATATCCCTGAAAGCTAGCTTTATAGCTTCTTTGTGGTGCCAATTTTGTCAACACAGGACTGGGCAGGCCAGTATGCTGCTCCCATAGGCTGTGAATGGTTCTTACAGATGCCCCAAATCCTACTGTCTTAGAAGAGTTACTCCTTGTATTTAAAGAACTAATACTGCTGAGCACAGTGCTATTAATTTATATAAAATATATTTTGAGTCATAAAAATGAGTATATTTTAAGAAAATTAGTATATTTTAAGAAATTGAGTCCTTCAGTTGTTGGGGACATGTAAAAATTTTAAGACTGAGGGTTCAATTTGGGAAAACTCTGGGTTGAGGAAGGAAATCCAACTGAAGCTA